CCACGAGCTGGAATGAATTTAGGCCTTATCTCGTCTCTGCATGCGACACCCAGGCATCAATCCACCTCTGATATACTAACAAACGCTTGCAACCAATGCAGTATACATATATATCCGAGTGCGCTTACTCCGGCTTCCTCCCATACACAAGCCTCAGCCGACAGTATGGATGATACTTGCCCGATCTCAACTCCTTTCGGAGCTGCGAGCAATAAATCGTTACTTCATCCTGCGACCATCCCAGCACGACACTCGCCATGTACAAGACAAAGCCCTCCAGATCTTGATCCATGGCAGCTAACGCGAAGTTTCCAATTTCTTGCTTCTTGGGATCTTTGGGCCAGCTACCGATCGGAAGCTGTAGGTCCAGTTAGCCACAATCCCAGAGCATACTGAACTGGATAGACCTGGTGAATTACTTGCCTTGAAGTTCCGAATCTGAATATCCGTAAACCCTGCGTCTTCCATTCCCTTCTTCTGCAAGTCATCATCAAGAATGGTAAAGGTTCTACCAAGTCTCTTTCCACCCTCGATAAAGAAATTGCCCCATTCACTCATCGCACTGCCTTCCTTGACAGTATCATCATCACTCTCAAGCATAGCCGACGCTTCAAAACTCTCAACCCAACCCCCCGGCTTACACGACCTAAATGCCTCTTGGAATAAAGCTGACCAGTCACTGATAGAGCCGTAGAGGTATCGCATGTAGATAAAGTCGAATGAGTCGGGGGAGAAGGTCCATGGTTGAGTGCAGTCTTCGATCTCACTACTATTGTCAACTGACGGCTCAATCGAGTTGTCGTACAGACGATACGACGCTGAAGAACTTACAACTTGACGTTGGGGGGAACCCAGCTTGGCTGGATGGGAGATATGTCAGTGCCGATCACTTCGGCTTGGGGATGCTCATCGGCAAAGTCACTGGACAGTCAGTCAAAGGCATCACGCCGTCAAACAGCACACTTACATTGCCCAGATTCCTGTTTGCCAACCATATGAGCATGTCTTTGGATTAAAAGTCGCTATTGCATACCTGTTCCAGTGCCGACATCAAGCACAGACTTGACAAGGTCAGATACATTGTTTTGCACGAGGTTCATCAGCTTACCTTAATGTCTTCCTTCAACGGTGCCAAATTAAGCTTTCCGTCTAATGTGAGAACCAGAAAATGGTGGCTGAAACGCGTCAGTGCCTATCTGAACAAGCCCCGTAGCTCTTACATAATGTCCATTGCCTCATTCTGCTGAGCATCATTTGAGGCCCTGCACGTCACGCATTAGCTCTATGCAGTAAGCAGCCTTCCATACATTACTCACCAATATTCTGCATTTCCTCTCTCGGAATGATAAGTTCGTCCCTTGATAGTTCTATAGTTCAGAATACTCGATGTCATCGAAGCCGTCGATGACTCTGTATCGACACCCAGCGAAGAGTCGGCATCTTCATCCTGCTCACCCTAAAAACGCGTCAGTCCCAGCCCCTTTTGACTCTTCTTAAACATACCTGTGCCAGAGCAGCCCAGTGCCCAGCGTCATGCAGCACAACCTCACTTGCTCCTGATGAGGGAGACTTTGGTGACTTCTTCGGGGACGAGGCTATGTCGCTCATGGTGTATGACTTGGCGTTGAGGTTGCGCAGGAAACTAGTTGGTTCTTGTCGAAGCGCGATTTTTGACAGCTTGCGGGGTAGACATGAACGTGTCTCGGCTGATTGATGTTACATTTATTGCGGATACTGCTGGGGCGTTGTTGGAATGCCGGGGGTGGCAGGGATGAATGATCTGATTTGATAGAGGTCAAACATCAAGTTGAACAGAACACTGTATAGAAGGTGCAAGTTAGCAAAGAGGCTTGATAAAGTCACAATTCTAGGATTGATATACTCTACCATATAATTATCAGTCATCTTAGCAAAGAAACACCCTTCTAAACTCTGGTCTCCATCTTCCCCCTTTTCTCTTTTCTCTTTTCTCTTCTCTCATGTTCCCCAGGCTTTCCCTTATCCTTCATCATTTTGGTCACCACTATATGTCATCTCTCTTTGGTACATTGATCTACTCACTGACAACTAATAGTATTTTCTTTAATAATACAGAAAGCCATTGTGATGCAAGCGTCTTTTCAGTCAGGCTCAACTCAAGCTGGGTGGAGCTTATGCATGATCTTTCCGACCTATGATCCAGATGCTTCTCATCGTCAAGCATGTCTTTGTCACAATCTCTCGCCAACAGGTCTTGAAGAACCCCTAAGCAATAAGTCTTCTTAACCCCTTTAAAGTCATTTGTCTATTAACTTAGATAATTCGTTTACCTTACTGATTGTATTCATGGCGCGGTTTCCGCACTACCCTAGAGATAATGAGTTAAGAATTAGAGTACTTAATAAGAAGCACTGCATTTAAGATAAAGTATTTAAGGCTTAAATAATTTCTTCATCTAGATTGAGTACTGTATTGTTATCTTTTATAACAAAATATTATAAACATAATGAAGTGTCTAATTTATTGCTATTTATAGAACCAGGTCATCCCATGCGATAAGATAAGATAAGATAAACAGACGCGAAAACGTCTCCTGGCGCATCACTTCACGCCGATTCCAGACGCCCGGTGACACTAATGCCTTGAAATACGACGCGTTTCCATCCATAGCGTTTCCAGACTCAACTGGAGATGAAAGTGTTTCCACTTTTCGCCTAGACCCATCGGGCTGGTTCTGACGTGATGACGCATCTGTAACGCACCTCAAACCCCTGCATCCCTGCCATACATTGCCAAACTCAATCGTTTGACATTCACGTCTCAGATCTTGACACTCCCCGTTTCACATCCCATTCGCTTCCACGCCAGCAATATCACCGCGAACTATTACCACCAGCCAAACCCTCATCGGTTATACGGCCCGCTAGACTGTCTCGTCTGTCAGATCGGGTTTGGATTCTCGGATCAAGCTGCTTCCTGTTTCTAAAAGCGCCCAAGGGGTGAATGCCATGAACGTTTTCGTATTAGGATCTGTTTGGAAAAACGGCGAGATTGACTTTTGAGAATGCCGTTAAAACGATTGCAAAGTATAAAGTGCGCGATGATACCCTCTTGTCTGTGCTTGTTCATCCAGCTTTCATCCAATCTCATCTCTGTTTATTGTTTCCACGCTCTGTGAGCTTTTTGTCTTCTCTTCTACTTATCATTCCTTTACCAGGCTGCAGGAACAGTCATTCATTACCATATTTGCTATTTCTAATTGCATACTACTCTCTCTATCACGATGAAGTTCTCTGCCGCTATTCTCACTCTTTCGGCCGGTTTGGCCACTGCGACGCCTGTCTTTCGTGCCCCTGCTCCTGGTCGACATGTCTCTCGATCCATCAAGAAGCGACAGGTTCCCCAGGAACATTCCCACGACTTTGTCTTGACCATCACTGGCGAGATGCTCAGACTCAACAACCCCAAGGAGATTCAGGACCCCGTCTTTGGTCTCTTGGGTGATGCCGCTGCAAAGGAGGGTGCAGGAAGTGTCACCAACCTCGCTTGTCTGAAGCAGGAGACTGCTGATCAAGCTTTTACCAACGCCAAGGCGATTGGCGATCTTCGCGGTATGGCTGGTGCACTGCTCTTCCAGGCCATTGAGCGCAACACTGGTGGTGTTGGTGTTGCCAGCAAGCTGTGCGACGAAGCAGCTGTCAACCCCGAGATTGGTGCTCTTACGCAGCATCAGGATGCCGCTTCTACTGGTGCCGGCGCTATCAACAAGGCTGTTACTTTGGAGCTGGCGAAGCAGCTGGCTGGTATTGGTGCTGACCCCAACTTGGCTCTGCTGAGTGGTACTTTCGCGCCTGGAGATGTAAGTACATATCGTAAGCTGTATAGTGAACCTGCTGACAAATTCTAGACCAGCGATACCACCGGAAAGGGCAACTCCTGTGACGAGGAAGAACCCGATCTTGGCTGCATCTTCTCCCAGGGTCTCCTTGTTCTGGATGCGACAGAGGATGAGATCTCTTCTGCCGTTGCCGATGTTACACCTACCTTCACCGGAACAGGCGGCATCTTTGCCACTGACCTGGTTGATCTTGCTAAGTTCTCTGTCGCCTCTGGTACTGAGGTCGCTGATCTTGCTACCATCGTCAACGGAGCGGCTTCAGGCGCTGCGTCCGCCACTGGTGCCGCATCCGCCACCGATGCTGCCAAAGCCACTGCTACCGCTGAAGCACCGGCTGCTACCAACACTGACAAGGCTGCTGAAAACACGGCTGGAGCTGGTGCTAGAGCTGGTGCTGGAAAGGGATGCAAAGCCAAGTCAAAGACCGCCGCCAGCGCAACCTTGACTCCCCTCCCCAGCCGCACGTCTGGCGCTGGTGCCAAGGCCACTGGTGCCGCCAACAATGCTCAGGGTGTGAACGTCCAGACCTTTACTGGTACACTTGGCGGAGCACCTCCCCCCGTCATCTCCTCCAACGCCGAGAAGCCTTTCTCCGTCAATGGAAACACCTTCAATGGAGAGAGTGTTGCCCTCGGTCGATCTTGTGATATCCAGCACAATGCCTGTGCGGACGCTGCCAACTCTGGTCAGCTTTCAGGAGGCGTTGGACAGTGCGAGACTCAGTTGGCTGCTTGTCGCGCTGCTATTCAGTAAGAGGGGAGGTGGACTTTATACGGTTTTAGCTGTAGATAGATACTCTGAATGAATCACGATTTTACCTCGAAAGATCAATTAGCCAATCTTAAATGATATGCTTTGAATTAATCTGATACTAAAATAGTGACTTCAGAATGGTGACCAGAATAGTTACTCAGCTTGAGGCTCATTGACATATCTCAACGGAAAGAAAGATGGCGATGTAATCTATGGATTGAAGCACCATTGTAATAAAGTCCCGCGAGATGTATCAATCGAGTAAATATAGCTATACGCACTTACAAGAGATACATCATTACGTACATGTTCCACTTCGTTTGCAGTTTTGTATAGGGCGAACCGTTTTTAACTTTTTGCCTAACCATATCTATTTATATCCAGAATCAAGTTCATGTGCATCTAGTTGCATTGTATGTCAGTCATTGTACGAATACGATCCGCTAGCCCTACCTGTCGGTGGCCTGATATGATAGACGATCGCACACGTCATGCCTCGCAGCCGAGCAAGTTCATCCCTATCTCCAACCAGGCATCCATGGATGTCCATCCACACTCCAGCATATGCCCAACGATCGAAATCCTCATTCTCCCAGCTTTCAACAAGTCGAAAGACTACCACTTGGTAGCCTGCACTTTTGACACTTCTGAAATCTGGCAGAAGGTCATTGAAGAGCTTACGTGGTGTCATGGTGATTGAATCATCATCTTCACTAAAGTCCCTGCAAGTACAGTAACCCATTTGCTTCTTAAAGAGTTTTGTACGAGTGCATAACAGCTGCAAATCAACGCATCCTTCCACACCTGGGGCAACACAGTCATGGAAGAGCGTCCAGTGACCAGCTTCACAGGGCTCGCCGGCAACGCATTCGCTAGCGTTGTGGTGCCGAAGGACGAACATTGGGTATTTTACTGCTTCATCGTCCCCTGTCAACCCTGCGGCCCGAAAGAGAAGACCACACGAAACACAATAAGAACGCCAAGGCTTTGGACGAATCCATTTATCCGGTTGGTATCTGGGGTCAAGGCTTTCATCGGCAGGGGCGTCTTCTCGATCAATGTTGACTGATGCCTTGGATGGTCGATGTTGGATCTGACTGTCACTGAGTCCGTTGGAAGACTCCGAGTGAGCTGGAGGTTCGCTGCCCTCTTTGGGGCCTTTGCCTTCCCCAGGCGCAGTCGAGAGGCCCGCTATAGCGGATTTGGCCCCAGCCAGTGCCTGTTGCAATGCGGACTTGGTAGATAGTAGATGATCCATATTGTAAAGTTCTGTGGTAGCAGAGAGTTAGAGATTGAACTTCGAAAGGGCTTACCTGTGATGATGGTGATGGTGGTTTGGTGAGAAAAGGATTGTACGGCATTGAGCTCTGCGGAATTTTATACTTGCATCTGAAGCTTATTTCAGTCCATTGTTCAACGTATTAACTCAATGGGACTTATGTACTAGGATGGGCGGTTGCCATCACTCCGTGGACAACGGATACGGTTCAACTGAGTGGACTATGAACAAAGGGAGATGTTACACTGGTAGCGCCTCTACGGCAGCCAGAGTCAAATTACGCCGTTCTAAGAGACAGGAAGTTTTGTTCTTCGGCTCTTTGGCGAACAGCTAAGTTGAGCGCCTCTATTGCCGAGGATTATTCTCACTTAAGCAACTACCCTTGACACTGAAACTCAAATTATAATTGTTACCGTAACTATTGCTGCGTTTGTTCGTCAAGCCTTCATGCTGTATTGAGAAACGATCTGGCAACAAAGCATAGCAAAAAAGCGATGGCAGATGGCGTAATTGTGGTCGTCGCCCAAATAAATATCCTTGCTTATGCTATTTGTTCGCCATCGTGCTCATGACTGGCTCACGGTTTATGCCTTACAGACCGAGAAGACGTTTTGCCGACTACTAATCGATAGTCAACATTATAGATGACATATTTTCTTTTTGTTCTAAACTCTACTCCTACTATCATTCATAAAGGTTGTCATCTCGACAAGCTCAGCCGTGCTCGACGAAGCTTCCTGTTGAGCCTGAACCGGCTGTCCCTTGTAAATGGTACTCTCCGTATGACGGGAGGAATTCGCAGTTCTGCCCTGCTGCCTTGGTGCCGATGATCCTTGGTGGGGATTTTTAGGACCTGAGTCGATAGAACTTCCAAGTCTCGGGAATGCCTTGAGGATAAGCATTCGGAGATCGGGAAGACAGACACACCAGAGGCCAACGTTGATCTCAATGACTGACCAGTAACAGGTCTCGAAACTGTCCCCTATAGTATCTCAGATTTGCCTGGGGGGAAGTAGGTTGACGAACTTACAGGTTGGGTTCTGAGAGTTTCCGAAAGCAACCAAGTACCGCAGTCGAAGGATACTGACGATGGTGACACTACTTCCGTTAGTCGTTGCAAGCAACAGTACAAGTGAGCAACTTACAAAGTACCGACCGTAAACATGATAGCTACAGCGAGCTTCCTTTGCCACTTCATTTGCAATTGCACCAGCTGCCAGATAGGAATGGCCAACATCCAAACATCCAGTATAATACCGACGGCTGCAATGGCCCAAGCCAATGGCTGAACTCCAAGACAATGTCCCTCGTGTAACTTATCCCATCCTGTCCAGTAGAAACTGATCGGCTGACATTGTGCAATGGCAAGGATGTCAAAGATGACCATGCCTAGAGCCGAAAAAACGATGGTACCCCATATGAGACGTTGGACGGATACGACGGGGAAGATTCGAAGATAGAAGAGAGCGACGCATATCTTGGTCAGGAAGACGTCGGAAGCGTAGAGGGTTTGGCCAACGTAGAGGTACTGGGAATGTTAGAAATGCCATTGGATCGAAATGCGAATCATACGCAGAGATAGCTGTTGATCGTATCTGGGTTGAAAAGCCATGCATCTCTCCCGAGACCATTGCCCGAAACTATCCGCAGTCAGTATTGATTCCACCAATTGCTAGGATTACTTACGACCGTGAACACAAACAATGGTGTTGCCCAAATCGAGTAGCTATCGCAATCAGCAGAGCACTTTTTTGAGGTCGAGTAAGACTCACAAAGACCGCTACGACGAGATAATCATCCAGCCTGAACTTTCTCTCGTATCGCAGCTTCTGCCAAAGCCGGAGGCCAACCACAATCGCCGTGATCGTAATCAATGTTATGGCCAAAATATCGAATTGAGCGTGTCTGTCTCGTACTGGAAAATCACAAGCAACTGAGGTGACATTTAGCGTCGCTGTAATTGTTAGCATTTGTCCAACACCTAATCCACGACACGCACCTAATGCGTCTCGCGGGAGGCATTTCTTCTGAACACAGCTCAAAACCTGCGTCTTGAGTTTCGGATCCGCGCAAAGGCACTGAACATCAATGCCACAAGTCGACGTTGATACAAGCTCGACAAGACAGCTCCCCTAGCAAAAGTCAGCATTTTGCGGCTCAGATAAGTGAATAAGTGAGAAACATACAGCGCAGTCTGGTATCTTTGTTAGGAAGTCCGAGACATCATCACCGAACACTTGGCATACGAGACACGCCCATGTCACCAGCAACAGCAGCAGATGCATGCTTCAGTTGATATGCAGCATGGTGGGAAGAGAGACAGCTGTGATATCGACAGGGGAGGGGAATACGAGAGAATTTGAGCAGTCATTTAATTGTTGATCTCCCACTAGTCTCACGTGGAAAGTTTAGCTTGGCTGGAGAGATTGCCGATGGAAATCCTTAGCTGACCCATAGAGTTTGAGAACGCGTCTCCGGTATATTTGGACCGGAGTCATGTAGAGGGAGGGGAAAGAAAGGGACTAACTATAAAGCTGCAAAACTGTATGTTTGGATGATAGGCGTATTCTGCCAGCTACTGTGGAGGATCGTCGGATCAGCACAAGCGTGGTCTGACGACTGATTCGCGAGGATAAATGAATTGCTAATTTGGGTAAAGGCGTCTCGGCAGTTATGGATCCTCAAATGCTAGACAGAATACTCACGGCTGTCACAGGGAAAGGATTTCTGTCGCCCGTTCCAAGCTATGCGGCCACTAAAGACCCGTGATCCACTTAGCAAGGCTTATTGTCAAAGCGGGATGGGGTGAAATTATGCGTCCGAGTCAGGGGCGCCAAGTTCGCCGAATTGTTGGGGCCTGATACTATTGCCGTACTCCCGGACTTGCTGATAATCACAACTCCTTGGCGACATGGGCATTGAGCCGTCGTGATGCATTCGCGTTCAATTTTCACGGCACGCTGTTGGCGGCTCTGTGATAAAGCGGAACGAATTGCATTCCAGGTGGGAGCACGAGCCAGGCTAGAGTGCAGCTAGCCAGCGGCAAATGAAGTCATTGATTCGGCATTGAATTCTACTGCTGCTCCCCATGGAAGGCATTTCTCGGCATATACTGCACTGTCAAAAAGTTAAAACTATTTGTCAAAGGGCCCAAGAGGGCAAGGAAAAGAGAGCCTTGGCGCAGCCGGTCTAAACAAACTTGCGGGAACGGGTCCGCGTCTACTAAAGTGCAGCTAGTGACAGTCTCGACAGTATTTGTCACTGTCTTGCCGTAGCATTATAAGCTACTGTCCTTGTACCAGTAGCTTGATGAATGCTATCATCGCGCACTATGGACGACGGGTACTTGCCTTTCACTGCGCAAAGACATGAACAATGAACTCGTTCAAATAAAGAACCCTGTTCACTCGAAGTATTCACTACTAATTTTGAAGGATCGCGGAACAAAGAATTTAAGAGACCGATCAGAACAGGCTAACAATGCTTACGCGAGTTTGATAGTTCTCTGAAGGCAAGATTGAGAAGACATAACCCGAGGGCTCCGGCTCCCTATACTCATTGGAAAGCCATAAGCGTAATATGAACTACTGGAAAAACCAGGCGCAAGATCTTCTTACTACATGAATCTGCCCCGTTGCCTAGCCTCCTCGGCCTTTCGGGCCATCTCCTCTCTCCTGCTTCTGCAACGAAGACATTCCATCGGAACGAAACAACGACCGCTATGGATACCAACCGTGCAATGTCTCCAGCCGTTGAATTGTATACCTTCTGCGCAAGGATCCCATTCATGAAAACTCCCCATATCCCTTCCGCAATAGCAACGTTTCTCGTGATATATTACAGTGCACATCTTGAATGGCGGAGTTCGAGGATACTGTAGTGTGGGACGCAGATAGTGTTTATCTTTCGAGGTATCTTGTATCGTGGTAGTCTTAGTGGAGGGTGTTGAAGATACTTGAGAAGGCGAAAGAGGTCTGCGATATATATACTGCATTCTTCAAGCAGTGATGAAGTTTGGAAAGTCCTGTGACGCTTTGCTGTTCCTAATCACATCTTGCATGAAGCGTGATTCTCTGGCATTTTCTGACCCCAGATCGCTTCTTTGCAGAGACCGATGGCTAAGAGCCGATAATCACTACGCATAAGTTAAAGTCCAGTTCGCGGTAGACTGGAATATGCATCGTGAATACATCATGGAAAGAGAAGCGTATGCGCTTGGACTAATCGTTATCAACATTCGATGAAGTCTCCTCATCAGATGATCTAGGTTCATGTCTGTACTGATGCTGGAACGGACTGAAGAAATATTCTGCCTGTCAGTATTATTAAGATGAAATGATGAGTCTAGTAAAAAGAGTGGAAATCATGTAGAATGCGTGAAAGAGGAGGTTAAGAAGCTGGCAGCAATAGGTAGCCGACCCCGACACCGAATCATCGTCCTCTGATAGGAACATATTCAGATACTCATCGCGACATTCAAAACCATGTCAGGTCATGGCCTACCTTGATTCGACGAACTCATGTTTAGGCGCTGTTGACAAATCGCCTGAACGCGCTATGTGAAGTCATGCCAGAGATGAAAGAAGAACAGTTCCCTGAACCTATAATGAACACGAGATGCTGACAACAGCTACTCCCGTACACATAGAACTGCTATTCAATATAAAAGACTTTGATTGTGCTACCCATTTAATTCTCAATTAGCCTTCATCACTGTATGCTACTGGTTTCTCTTCCACTCGCATCCGCATTAATCACCGACGGACGAAACAATTCCAACATGAGCTTCTATCGAACGACCGGTAGGTATGGTGCAGCTAAGAGATCTAAGAGCATGAATGAAGAAATTGTGAGCATCTCAGATTCAGGGTCAACGACAAGCTCAGGATCTGAGGATAACGGAAGCTCAGATGAGGAGCCAGCGAGCAGGGAAATGTTGACGTACTGGAGACTTTCATCAATCGGCAAAGGAGATGCATACTCTCCCAGAGCCATTCGAATTACGTCCCACGTTCTCGTTCGACATATCAACTCCGTATGGTTCACTGTCGAGTGGAATGACGGTGAAGAGTCATGGGAACCCGAATCTGCATTACAGGGCTATCAACCAGAGCTGGTCTATGCTTACTGGGATGCAATGCAAGGGGGACGCGAAAGGGCCACCAAATTCAATTTGTTCCATGTCTTTACAATTCTCGAACACAGAACCAAGAGAGATTCTAGCAGGAGACGCGCTAAAAAGATTTGCTATAAGGTCCAGTGGGTTGGGTACGATGTGAAAGATCACAGCTGGGAGCCGGCAGCGAAAGTTGCTCATCTTGTTCCATGGATGAAGGAAGAGTATGATAAGATGCATGGGCTGTGAACTCTGGGAGGTAGTACAACGTAAGAGAATGTATTATCAGGTGGAATGAAAACTCTATGTGACGGCTGAACAGAGATGTAGGAAGTTTGATCTTTTAGATACAGTAAGAACACAGAAGTTCTCGTTCGGTGGAATGGGAGTGATATAAGTGAATCGTTTTGGCTGTAGCATATTGCAATCCATTATTTAAACATAAAAGCTGTGGAACAAAAGCTCTGATATGCGGAATGACACTAGAAGTGAAGCCAAAGTACCCAAGCAGACACCTCATACCAGGCTCCAGAATTCTTCCTGGCCTATTTACTCGTGGAGGTACTTGACCTCTTTCCCAGGGTTTGGCTGCTGAACCAGCCCAAGCTGCTGGAGAGCCGTCAAGGCTCCCTCTTCCCCAGTCTCATCCACAATAAGCCCATCCTTAAGGGTGAAGATGGTCGTTCCAGAGAAGTACATTTTCTTGCCCGTATTCGCCGTCTCCAAAGCGCCGACTGCAAGATCATGGAAAGCCACTCCGGTATGAGTGCCGCCTCCGATCCAGCGACCGACTACATATGGCCCACTTGCAATCAGGGGGTGCTGGTAGGCATGAAACGAGATGTCTGAAAATGCCTGGTGATATGGGGTTAGCTACTAAGATGAGAGTTTTGCATGGATCTTCTTGCCTCTTTGAATTCTGAGAGCATCTTCTTGGCATTCTCCTTTCCGTATCGTGGGCCGTGCATTGGGTAGTTGATGACAAAGTTATCAGCGCAGAGCTTGTCGACGATCTCGGGATTGCCCTTGCCCCAGTACTCGGTGAAGTACTCCTGGATAACCTCCAGGTTCTTTGTCTCCTCTTGAGTCGGCATTGTGAGGCTGTTGATGTTGGTAGGTAAGGTGTTGCTGTTGTATTGATATGATGGATGATTTAGAATTCTGTTCTTGCTGTTGAGAGGAAGGCGATGGTTCTTATAGTGATATGGGTAAGCAACGTGTGAGAGGGAAGGCCACTTTGTAACTAGACTGATCCTTGCAATTCCTCATTTTCACAATAACCAACGATTTCAACTTGGTGATTGGCTGATTCAGAAGCAACAAAACCTCTTCGCAAACTTGATGCATGAATTCGGAGCCAGCGAAGGCAAGGGTCTATGGAGCCGCCAGATCACGATAAAGCAATTTTGCTGCCAAGTAATTGCTCAGTTCCATAGCAATGTACGAGTTTTATCCATGAGGCGAAATAAAGAGCCTCCGTGATTGGACAATTTGAAAGCAACATTCCACTCAAAGAACGTCATGGAGAAATGGTGAAATAAGCCTCCACCATGATTGGTCACATTGAGAGCAATGATCCACATTTGACAGCTCTGGCACTGTAATTGTCCGAGAACAAGTGCCGTCTCTGGCCATAAGTCCAGGGTTGTCCGGTAGGATTCGAAAGTAATGAGGAGTTTGAGTGGTGATAAATCTTCCTAGTCTGAAAAGGCTGACAGTACCAGGTACATATCCCCTATAAATAGCCACCTAGCGTAGGAATGGCCAGTCCAACTCAAGTCTTTTGCAAACCTCAACAACATCATTTCTAATACGTACCAGTCATCCCAGCCATGTCATCAATCACTGTATATCGTGGAACCACAAGCGGGAGAGTGCAGCAAGCCACAGTCCCATGGCCCGGTCCTCCACAAGCACATCAGGTCACAGTTCGCATCACTCATTCTGGTCTTTGTGGTACCGACGAGCACTACAAGTGCCAGGACATGGTTCTCGGTCACGAGGGAGTTGGCATCGTCGAGTCCATCGGCAGTTCTGTCGTGACTCTAAAAGTGTAAGTAACTTGAGCGCAACCTAACCCTTAACACTGGTCTCCAGCTAACAAGTCCCTCGATACAGTGGAGATAGAGTTGGCTGGGGCTATTGTCATGGAAGCTGTCTCAACTGCGAGTATTGCGATCAAGGTCAAGAGCTGTACTGCGAACAGCGACAGTTCTATGGCTTCGACCAGTTCGATCAGGGCTCGTTCGCGACTTATGCAACTTGGAATGAGCACTTTCTCTTCCGCATTCCGGAAAGCATCCCGTCTGCAGAGGCAGCTCCTTTGATGTGCGCTGGGGCAGCCGTGTATTCCGCTCTACGCAGCGCACAAGTCCAATGGTATCACCGAGTCGGTGTTCTTGGCCTCGGGGGTCTAGGACACCTCGCTGTTCAGTATGCTGCCAAGATGGGTTGCCATGTCACAGTCTATTCTCACTCATCTGGCAAGGAAAAAGCAGCCCGAAAGCTGGGAGCATCGGACTTCCAAGTAATGGGGGATAGTTCCCTTCCTAGTCGAGCTGTTGATTGTCTGCTCTTGACTGGCGCTCAGCAACCGGACTGGTCCCAAGCCCTGTCGCTGGTTCGACGGGGCGGCGTGATAACTACTGTTACTGTGGACTCGTCCGAGCTGCGATGCCCATACGGGGAGATTCTGATGAACGCGATCCGGATTCAGGGAAGCCTACCTGCCGCCCCGAATGTCCAACGCGAGATGCTCAGCTTCTCGGCGCTTCATGGAATAAAACCAGTTATCGAGACCTTTCCGTTCACTGAGAGTGGAATTAATGAGGCGATGGAGAAGCTTCGCCAGGGCAAGATGCGATATAGAGGCGTTCTATCAATGGAGGGTTAGGGATCTCCTCAAGCTGGGATGCATTTTCTTGTCATCACTATGGCTCTGCATCAGACTTATCTATCATAGGGGGAGATTAGCCCCTAGTAAGCCAAAACTATAGAGAAGATACTCCGACATGGTATGAACTCTGAAGAATGATCCAACTTATATTGCGGTAAGCTAGTAGTCTGTTGTATTAGAAATCCATCACACTAGTATGCGCCAGAAATACACGTCCAAGTTCCAGAACCAGATCACCGATTCAAGTTCATTTTGGCCTGCAATGTCGATAACCTCCAGTGTTATCACAGCTTGGGTCCTGGGCGAGGCTTAGGTTTAGGGGGAGGAGGCATTGGGTTTGGTTGAGAAGGCATTTCTTTAAGCGTCGCGGTGTAAGTAATATGTATATCTTGGAGGAGTCTAGACTGGCAATATCTTTGAAGGGGGACTTGAGAAGGATTGGTCTTGGCAGCGCGGTGATCGGGGTTTATGTAGAGCTGAAGCTTCTGTGACTCACTGCCGTATGGCAGTCACATATGTAGCAATCACAAACTAAACAATGCTCACAAACCATTCACTGTAAGTAAAAAAGCTGTACATTGGGTGCCACATAAACGTCACAAGCGATTATTATTAAGAGTGAAAATGCTACGACGCCGAAAATCATCCCCTTTGTTATGTAACTCTCAGCCGAGGTGCTGCTTGATCTCTTGCTGCGTCCATTCCCAAAGCTCTTCACGAGCATCTTTATCCTGACTCAGTTTGCTCCCCTTGCCCGTCACACCAACAGGATGGTAGAAAACTCCGCTTTCAACCTTGGGATCAGTCGCTGCCCATAACTGATTCAATGCACCCTTGGAAGCGTCAACAGCGATGAAGCTTAATACGAGCCTTGTGATTGTTCCCAAGATAAGACTGTGATTGATAATCGGTGCCGCGAGGTTCGTCTGCACGACTCCTGGGTGGACGCTAATGACTTTGATCTTGGGATATCGCTCAGCAAGGGCTGCGGCGTAGTGGACGTTTGCGAGCTTCGATATCGCATAGCGCGATGTTGAAGAGTAGCTAGACATTGTGGTGTTGAATTGATCGAACTGGTATGGATTCTTTGGCGACATGGACTCTCCCATCGACGAAAGGAATACAATCCTCACGTCGGGATTGGTCTTGGTGGTCTCTTCAAGATTAGGGAGCAGGAGATGAGTGAGAAAAGCATGACCCATATGGTTTGTGCCAATCTGGATCTCGTAGCCTTCCTCGGTGCGACCCTCTGGCGTCATCATGATGCCAGCATTGTTGATAAGAATATCGAGTCGGGTGGAAGATGTCTGGAACTCTGCGGCGGCAGATTTGATACTCGCTAGAGAAGCGAGGTCAAGCGCTAGAAAAGATATCGCGTCCGTGTTGGCGCCACCTTGTCGCAGCTCATTGACGGCTTGGTCAAACTTTGCTTTGCTGCGACACGCGAGGAAGATCCTTGAGGGCTCATGCTTTAACAGCTGCCGAGCAGTCTCAAGACCCAGTCCTGAGTTCCCTCCCGTGATGAGGATGACTTTACCCTTCTGGCTGGGAATATCAGTGTCGGGAGAGAATTTGACAGGTCCCATTTTGTGTATTGATGGGGAGACAATGAATGTCGCGGGGTGGCTGCAAGCGCGTCTTAATATATCTGGTAACGGCGGGCTCGGAATCGTGTTTCACCCCGTAATAGGTCTCTAAACTCCGATGCTAGGCTCTTTCGGCTCGGTAGTTGCATGATCGAGTTCTCGGCAAATGCGAAAACTCTATTGATGGTGACATGCAAGTGGGGGCCGAAATGAGCTTCTGACCACTAACGGTTCAAGGTTGCAGACGAGGTTGAATGGTGTAGTAATAAGGTAAGTATAGCTCTTCGAGCTATGTTATTTCGTGGCCATGACGTTGTCACAATATTAATTAAGGCCAGTAGGAAACCTTTGCAGATAAGAGAGCCTTTGTAGAAGTAGGGCGCTTGCAGCTCCTTGACCTGCCCTAGCGCAAGCCATACAGAGCGAGCTTAGTACAAGAGCAGATGGCCAGATGAGCTGAATTAATGACTATCATGCTTTATAGACCAAAAAGAGGTGCGGCGTCATATCTAATGATTGCGCTAATAAACAGTCACTGGAGCGAGTGTTCGTGAGCCAGTAATGGACACCTGTTAGCAACATGTCTTGTCTTCAGCTGGCCCGAGCGATGTAAATAATCAACTCGTATCTTGACAAAGCGTCGCGCAATGCAGTTTGGAGTAAGCCGATGGCCACGTACATTTGCACTTTTGATGCAAGTCTCAGCCCCTCAGACTTCGCATTAGGCAACCTGCGTTTATCAGCTGCGATAAATAAATGAGGGGTAA